GAGTAGCTGGGATTACAGGCACGCGCCACCATGCCCAGCTAATTTTTTTGTATTTTTTTAGTAGAGACGGGGTTTCACCGTCTTGACCAGGATGGTCTCGATCTCTTGACCTCGTGACCCACCCGCCTCGGCCTCCCAAAGTGCTGGGATTACAGGCTTGAGCTACCGCGCCCGGCCTGACCTCACTTTTTAAGTCAAATAAAGGTACGGGTGTCCGAGTGGCCATATTTCACTTGTGAATTCCAAACGAGAAATGGGACTGCGCCTTACTGATGCAAATTTGTACCCTAGATAAAGTCAGAAACTTTCATTTCACGTATGTCTAACCTACGGTGTCCTTGCTCTGTTTCAAGGCATTTTCACAGGCAAAACGCCGCCTCTGACTATACTTGGGGTGGTTGAGACGAGATCTTCAAATAAAAATTCTCAACGTCACCGTCCACTCTCTCATACGCTTGAATTCAGAACACCCCAATACTGGCCAAAAGACTCCACTTCTAATGCCTGGTCTCGCTTTTGAGGCAGCTCTAGTTCAGAGGCATGATTTTTTGAGACTGGGAAACAGGCTGCTGTCGGGTCCTTCCCAGCCACCTCAGGCGGAAGCCGCGGCCCACTCAGTTCCGGCCCCAGCCCGGACTACCTGTCGCCTTGTTGGGGGAAGTAGGGCAGATACCGTAGCCCAGTCAGGGTAAACAGCTGACCCAGGGGATGGAACTGCGGCTCTGTAGAGAAAGCGGAGGACTTCACCGCATTCACGGGCCAGGGAGGAAAGCCAGAACCCCAGGCCGGAACCCAGCGTCACGTCGTGGGGGACCAATGTTAATGCAACACAGCTCAGCAGGGCCCGGAAGTCAGTCTGTGGCTCCCCGCTCTCTTTGGGCCGGTAGTGAGGAAGGTGGGGCTGGGAAGTAGAAACTAGGAGGGCCTAGGGAGAGTCTGCAAGGGTAAGAGTGTATCTGTGACACTGCTAGCAGCGGGGAGAGGGAGGGATGGGGGCGGGTGTCGGTGTGGGGGCCTTCGGAAAGAACGGTTATCGCTGTAACACCGCGGGGACGCTCTGAGGGGACGCGTGTCGGTGTGGCACCGGTGCACGCTGAAGGAGCCGGCGGAACCGGGTGGCCATGGGGACGTTGGCATTGCTGGACGCTTTGTGGGAGATGCCGGCCGAGAAGCGTATCTTCGGAGCCGTGCTGCTCTTCTCCTGGACAGTGTATCTTTGGGAGACCTTCCTAGCACAGCGGCAGGTAAGCCTAGGCGAGGTCCAACCTGACCCCCACACCCGGCCACCCCTAGGCCAACCTTGGCTTCGACCCTGAGTCTCTTGATGATTGTTCCAGTTTCTGCGCCAGTCTCGACCCTGTGGTCCTTGCTCAGTCTGGTAACTTGGCCTGACGGCGGGCTATGGCTTTGAGGGGGATCTTGGTGCGTCCAGGAAGTTTTCAGTAACGTTATCATGGGAGTCGAGGAATGCCTGGGCTCTTGTGCCCACCCTACATCTTCCTTGAGATCCTTGGGCCCAGACTTGGCCTCCTTTATCTTTGGCATAAGCCTTCAAAAGAATTTAGAAACCCAACTTCCTCATGACATTTATGTAATCATGCCTAACTGTAGGATTTTGCAATCCTTCCAACAACATGCACTCTTGTTTCTCCTTGAAGTGCATATATTGTTTCTGCTGGGGGAAAAAAATATGTATGTATGTATGTATATATATATATATATATATATTTATAGGTCCAGGCCAGGCTCGGGTGGCTCATGCCTGTAATCCCAGCGCTTTGGGAGGCCGAGGCGGGCGGATCACCTGAGGTCAGGAGTTCGAGACCAGCCAGGCCAACATGGTGAAACTTCATGTCTACTAAAAATAGAAAAATTAGCCAGGGTGGTGGCGCACACCTGTAGTCCCAGCTGTTTGGGAGGCTGAAGCAGGAGAACCTCTTGAGCCAAGATCGCACCACTGCACTCCAGCCTGGGCAACAAGAGCGAAACTCCATCTCCAAAAAAAAAAAGGAAAAGAAAAGATATATATATATATATATATATATATGTCTCATTTTTAATAAAATTATCTTCATTTTTTGTTTAAAATACTAAAATGGTAAAATAGAAAGTGAAAGTTACTTAATTTACTGGAGATAACCACGGATTAGAGACCTGAACTTTTATTTATTTATTTTTAATCTTTATTTGTTTAAGACAGAGTCTCACTCTGTCACCAGGCTGAAGTGCAGTGGCGCAATCTCGACTCACTGCAACCTCCACCTCTCGGGTTCAAGTGATTTTCCTGGTTCAGCATCCCTAGTAGCTGGGATTACAGGCATGTGCCACCACACCCAGCTAATTTTTGTATTTTTAGTAGAGACGGGGTTTCACCATGTTGGCCCAGATGGAATCTTTATTTTATTTAGTGACAGGGGCTCACTTTGCCACCCAGGCTGGAGCACAGTAGCACCATCATAGCTTACAGCAGTCTCGAACTACCAGGCTCATGCAACCTTTACACCTCAACCTTTTTTTTTTTGAAACGGAGTCTTACTCTGTTGCCCAGACTGGTGTGTAGGGGTGTGATCTCGGCTCACTGCAACTTCCATCTCCTGGGTTCACGCGATTCTCAGCCTCCTGAATAACTGGGATTACAGGTGCACGCCACCACACCCGGCTAATTTTTCTGTTTTTAGTAGAGACAGGGTTTCACCATGTTGGTCAGGCTGGTCTTGAACTTCTGACCTCAGGTGATCCACCTGCCTTGGCCTCCCAAAGTGCTGAAATTACAGTTGTGAGCCACCGCGCCCAGCCCACCTCAGTCTTCTGAGTAGCTAGAACCACAGGCGTGGGCCACAGTGCCCAGCTAATTTTTGGATTTTTTTGTAGAGATGTTGCCGGGGCTGGTCTGGAGTTCCTGGGCTCAAGCGATCCTCCCACCTCAACCTCCCAAAGTGCTGGGATTACAGGCATGAGCCACCATTCTCAACCTGTCCTCAGCTTATATTGGCACAAAACAATATATAAGGAAAGCATATTGTAGTGGCCCATTATTTTGTTTGGTATCGATTCACTATATTGTATTTCCTGGGCTGCAATTACCCTTACCTTTTAGAATTTAGTATAATGTGAAAGTTGGTCTTTCTCCTTTTTTTTTTTTTAGGAGACAGAGTGTCATCCAGGGTGTAGTGCTGTGGCACGATCTGGGCCCACTGCAACCTCCGCTTCCTGGGTTCAGGTGATCCTCTCACCTCCGCCTCCCAAGTAGCTGGGACCACAGGTGCACACCACCACACTCTGCTAATTTTTGTATTTTTTGTAGAGACAGGGTTTTACCACACTACTCAGGCTGATCTCAAATTCCTGGGCTCACAAAGTGCTGGGATTACAGGCGTGACCCAACGCACCTGGCTAAAACGTTGGTCTTTTCTCGCAGACCTGGTATGTTTCTATGTGGTGCTCCTCAAGTTTCTGGCTTTTAGGACCAAATTTAATGAGCAGCCTCAATATTTGTTCATACTCATGGTTAGCATGTGTGCTTCTCCTTTCCATGAATTTGTTTTCTCTATTATATAATAGAGGAGGTATGTAATACCCAGAATGAGTAGTACATGTTACAAAGTTGTGATGTTACAACTTTGGTTTACATATACAAACTGCAGTGTGATGAGAACCCTGATTTTAGTTTTACTAGTCAGCTAACCTCAGGTTCTCTTGTTCTGCTTTTATTTTTCTGCATTAGTCATTTCAGTGGTCAATGTACTTGATCAAGTGTGATATTTGTGTAGGTATAAAGCAAATTCAACAAGAGTAAGTGACAAGCTATAAATCATACAGTGTTTGATCATAAATGACTATTGTAATAAACAATCAACTGTTTCACTAAAGTGTTTTCTTCAAAATATTTCAGAGAAGGATATATAAAACAACAACTCATGTACCACCAGAGTTAGGACAGATCATGGATTCTGAAACATTTGAGAAATCTCGACTGTATCAACTGGATAAAAGCACTTTCAGCTTCTGGTCAGGACTCTATTCAGAGATTGAAGGCACTGTGAGTAACTTACTTTTTGGAGAGACAGTCTGTCAACTTGTTTAATACTTTGTAATGGTTGCTTTCATTTTCACATTTTTGTAGCACAAAAGAGGGCACCACACTTGCAAGTCCCAGATTGCTTTCTTAACCTTTGTTATTGATAGTAATCGCTGTGGAGCAAAAAAGAAAGAAACATAACTGCTTAATCAGTTGAAAACTATGGTATATGGAAACCATTACCCTGAGGTCAAGTAGGAAAAATATCTTCTTCCATTTGGATGCAGCTGAGATGTCATGTCTTCTAAGCAACTATTTGAAACTTCCCTGCCTGACAAATGTGGGTAGGGTGACATCCTATCATTATTCCTGTCAGCGTACATATTATGTTGAATTTGCCTGAGGTTTTTCTTTTTTTTCTGGCACAGTCATCCAGGCTGAAGTACAGTAGTGTGAACTTGGCTCATTGCAACCTCTGCTTCCTGGGCTCAAATGATCCTCCTACCTCAGCCTCCCTAGTAGCTGGGACAACAGTTGCATGCCACCATACCCGGCTAATTTTTGTATTTTTTGTAGAGTCAGGGTCTCCTCATGTTGCCTGGGCTGTTCTCAAACTCCTGAGCTCAAGTGATCTGCTCACCTCGGCCTCTCAAAGTGCTGGGATTACAGGCATGAGCCACTGTGTCTGACCTAATTTGACTGTTTAATTGGCAAACTGGTAGTTCCTTAAAGAAATAGTACTTTGCAAGGCATGGTGACTCATGTCTGTAATCCCAACACTTTGGGAGGCTGAGGTGGGTGAATAACAAGGTCGGAAGTTCAAGACCAGCCTGGCTAAGATGGTGAAATCCTGTCTCTACTAAAAATACAAAAATTAGCCGGGCTTGGTGGTGGGTGCCTGTAATCCCAGCTACTCAGGAGGCTGAGGCAGGAGAATTGCTCGTCCCCAAGAGATGGAGATTGCAGTGAGCCATAATTGTGCCACTGTATTCCAGCCTGGGCGACAGAGCTAGACTCTGTCTCAAAAACAAAAACAAACAAAAAAGAAATAGTACTTTAAAGTCTTGTTCATCATTTTATACCTAGTGCCTGGCATGGAATAAGCACATAGTTCCTATTTATTGAATGAAATAATGACAGGATATTTTACTTAGCAAAACAAAGGGCCAGTCTTACCCTCATATTAAAAGAAGAGAGGCTGTATAACATAGAGCAATTTTCTTTTTTTTTGGTGGTCTCCTTCCCGTCCCCCTGCAGCCATTTTGGACATTTTTTTTCCTAATTGCCCCTTCCATGAAATTTTAATACCATAGATATGTTGTATATTTGTTTCAGTACTGTATGTATGTATATCTGTGCTTCATACATAAAAAAAGATTTTTTTCCCACCCCCTAGAAAAATTGAAAGTACATAATATAGAGGTTAAGAGCAGCCTCTGAGCTCAGGCAGCTTGAGTTTAAATCTCAGCTCCACCACGCCAGTTGGATGACCTCAAGCAACTCACTCAGCATTTCTGTGCCTATTTTCTCATCTGTAAAAGTGGTGTGGTAATAATGGTTCCTTATTTGTAGTGGTTTTGAGAGGATTAAATGACTTAATATATAGAAGATGCTTATAACAGTGCATGGTCCACTGTAAGTATTTCATAAGTGTTGGTTATTATTATTATTATTATTATTTTGAGACAGTCTCTTGCTCTTTCACCCAGGCTGGAGTATACTGTTGCCATCATGCCATCATGACTCACTGCAGCCTGGCCCTCCCAGGCTTGGGTGATCCACCTCAGCTTCCTAAGTAGCTGAGACCACAGGTGC